TAGCTTTTATCTTTGTGACGTGATTCTGTGCTCTTCTCTATTTTGTAATAACGTGAAATAATTTAGTATTCTGATCTCCTTCTTTTAACTAGTCAGCATGACTTTTTTTATTTCCAATAAATAATTTCATCTTCCTGAAATTTGCGCATAGCATCTATTGCAAATTAAGAATATATTTACTGGTTATTCTATCGTCAAGTTGAGCACTCTCTAGTTGGGTGCTCTCCAGTTAGGCTTTTATCTCTTTGGATAAGCTTATTTCAATTAACCTGTATAAATCTTATATTTTGATAATCGAATTTCAACTCTCTTAGAATAAAAACTTCAATTAACGAATTTTGTTAACTATTGGGGGCTAATGAGACTTCTACAAAATCAATGGACATACGAATATTATGCTTGGGTTGGTGACATATTTGGAGGTAATGAAGAATATGACTTTTCTCAAAACCTTACACAATTTAGAAGCAACATTTTTTAAAACATGTTTTTTCTAATTTATTCTTTCAAAATTATTTCTTCAAAACAATGATCTAACAAATTTATTTCTCATCATTCCTTAGAATTTATTTATTTACTAGGTGGTTGGTTTACACATACAAATATTAAGTTTTTATTAAAATAAATTAATTAAAATATTTAATTTTATTATTTATAATAAATATATGATTGATCTGTAATATTGTAATGATCCAGGCCCGACCCATTTGAATAAGTTTAAATAAATTGATTTGGCTACGTATGTTATCAAAGTGCACTTATCTTTTCGGTTAGTGAGCTTGAGAGAACTCGAGAGTTAAGCATGTTTGAGCTGAGCTCGACTAGGATGGGTGACCTTTCCGGAAGTGGTTCCCGAAACTGTGTGAGTGAGGCCAAAACACATGGAAAGATCATGTGGTGATTGCAAGGTCAGTAAATAAGTCGGTTGAGTTCCGGAAAAAATAACGCACTGGCCGTCAGGCTGGGATGGGGCCCATGGGCCTGAGAGAGGACGTGGGTGTGCTCACCGGTAGGGGCGTTCGGAGGCGTTACAAGTGGTATAAAAGCCTGGGAAGTCAAACTGGTTGTGTCCCAGGAGACTGTCGTAGGATTTGGGGGTTAGGGCTCACACCGTCCTGATCAGAATTCGCGGACGAATTCTGGTTTAGTGGGGGAGAATTGTAACAACCCGGGTCCGGTCCATTTTAAATAAGTTTAAATGGATTGATTTGGCTACCTATGTTAGTGGGCCTGAGATAGATCCAGAGTTAAGCTTGCTTGAGCTGGAGCAGGAATATGATGGGTGATCTTTCGGAAAGTGATTCCCGAAATCGTGTGAGCGAGGCCAAAACACAGAAAAAGATCATGTGGTGATTGCAGGGTCAGTAAATAAGTCGGTTGGGCTCCAAAAAGAATAATGCACCGGGCGTCAGACAGGAGTGGGGCCACGAGTCCGAGAGAGAATGTGAGTGTGCTCACCGGTAGGGGTGTTACAAAATAACATATCAATCATTTGCAACAACTTCATGGTGATGACGGCTTAAATTAACGATAATACAGGTATATCAATATCCGCTCACAACACCAAAACCCTTATTGTTTCTTTATTCTTTCTTTTGGGTTTTAAAAAATCATGGGCTCTTTCGTTTTTTTCTTTTAATGAATTGGGCTTTCGGTCTATGATTGGATTGGGGTGTTACATTTCTCTTCCACTTGAAATGAATTCGTTCTCGAATAACGCACTGACCGTCGAACAAAGGTAGAGCTTACAGGCCCGAGAGAGGACGTGGGTGTGCTCACCGATAGGGGCGGTCGGGGGCGTTACAAATATATAAACATAAAATAGTTTATATATTATATATAATATATAAATGTAAGATAGTTTTACATGATTAATAGAATTTATGATTGTTGAGGTTGATTGGTTCTCCCGCTAATACCAGCAAACACAGCTTTTACGGGTGATATCGGTTGTTAACGTTTGACAACAATCATTGTAAATGCTTTCTACCACTTTGAACAGTTACAGATCCCTCAAAATTAAAAACTCATTCCCACAAGTGTTTGCGGTTTTAGGCGTTTGGGGATGCACAATAAAATTTATTTAAAATCATGATAGTATATATAATGATGTTTAGAAAAAAACCAAACTTAAAGATTATAATACAAATTTATATAAATAAAATTAATAGTTTTTAGTTAATATTCACTAATAACCTATTATAACTTATACTTAGAAGATTTATAAACCAATTTTTCTTGATGAATGTTCTCTTTATAACTAATACATATATATCTAACAACTAAAATTCTCTTAATCTAATTTTAATCTTTACAAAAAAAAATTAATCGTAAAGATTTTTACTTTCATCTAAGCTAAAATAAAATAAAATAAATGCAAGTATTATACATATATCAGTTTTATAATTTTTATTATTAATTTTATATTCTCTCAAAATAATCTAGTTTTGATGTTTTTAATAATAATATATTATGTTTATATTATTAATTTATAGTTTAACCCTTATTGCAAACGCAAATCAACCAGTCGTAAGAATTTCACAAACGCACTCATTTCTAACTATTGTACCAGTCATACAAATCTTTTAGCAATGCTGTCAACCGCAATCATCCGCTTCTAAATCCTCTCGCATTCGCAACCGTAACTGCAGAATGTAAACCAGTTGGATCCCAAACTTATATGTGTGTAAGATTTAAGCCTTTAAGGTGTAAGATAATATATTTAATATTTGATTGTTATATTAAAAACTAAGAGTTCATCTGTTCATAACTTTGATATTTATGTTAATAAAAAATATAATGGATAACAATATATAAAAAACTTGATTTATGAAATAATATTTTATTTGTTGACAAAATTATATGCATGAAAGAATTTATATTAGTAAGATAATATTTTCAAATATTTCAAATAAAAACATAAAACCAATCAAAATTATTTTTCTATATTTTTTTTTCATCTTTTTGGACTCATATTTTTTTTCTTGATCTTGAATAATCTTTTAAACATTAAGATCTCCCCAGTGAATTTTTCTATTTTTTTCTTCTAAAATATAGGTGAATTTTTCTCCAATTTATTTCTATGTTATAGAAAAAAAAAGATTGTTATTTTTTTCTCTAATTATAAAGGAAAAATATCATCTATATTTTTCTTTTAAATTATAAGATTTAGGATAAAAGTAGGTTGGATATGCTTTAAACCTGAGATTTTTATAAAAAACCAAAGCCGTAGAGATTCTTTTTTACTTTTAATTTTTCTTCTTATTCATATATACAGTATTATAAAAAACAATTTGCGAAGAAGATACTTATGATTTATTTTTCTATATGTTTGTTAGGCGTGAGCTTTGATATATATATAAGCCCAAAACAACTGAGCCTTTTGGGCTTATCGATTTTTTGGGCTTAAGCCTGACCGGGCACAAGCTTACCGAAAAGTTATGTAATTTATATTAAAGCTAATTTAAAGACTTGTTTTACAAGGTTACTTTATTGAAAAATTAATACATTGGAAATTATAATTTTCTAGTTTTATGTCTCTCTATAAATCTCAGGTTAAACTGAATTTAAATCTCGAATGTGCAGTCTTCACTATATAGATTTGAAGTGTTTTAAAATTATATTGTTATTTGATAATATAAATAATTTGAATTTATTAAATTCAAATTTTTGCTTTTAACTTGAGTTGAATTTGATAAAACATATGAATAATTGTTTAATTTAGATTTATTTTTAAAAATGACTTCGGTTAGGGTCAAGCCGGGCTTTAGAATATAGGCTTGATAATTTTTTAGACCGGACCAGACTGAACTTAAATATATATGGGGTTTACGAGTTTTGGGCCGGGCTGGGCCGGGCCATACCGATTGACATGCCAAATACATTCATATATGATATAATTTTTTTTTTGAAAATGAGATTTATTTAGTTTTAACATACCAATCAAAATATTTCGTTTATTTTGAAAAAATTATCATATCACATTTCAGTCAATAATAAAATAAATTAACTTTTTCTCTCCTTTTTGACACTTCAGATTTTTTAACTGAATAACTTTCTTAAATAATAATATAGATTTACTTTTAATTATGTCATTTCTCTTAACTTGTTCATTGTTCCTTTTAATACAGTGAGATTAACAAAGATTTCTAAATCTTAAATAGATTTCCAAATCTATAAAAATACACAAATGATTAATACAGATTTTCTAAAAAATATATTATTCTTGACCTTGAATAATATGAAGTACTGACACCCACTCCTACAAAAAAAATTCAGCATATTTTATTTGATTAAAATTTTCTTTTTGCTATTACTATTCCTAAATTCAAACACTAATTTAAGTGACATGTCGATCTTTTATTAATTCAATTATTTGAAATAGTTAATTAAGACTTTTATTTTGCTTACTATTTCTATTCCCAAACAATTTTGAATTTTGTTTTCACACAAAATGATTTCATTCAAATATATGTTGTAATATAAATTTTATTTTAATATCACAAAATCAAAGTTTCAAATTAATAACTTACAAATTCTTTTTAAAAATATAATTTTAAAATTGCTCCTTTTATATAAAAAATATAATAAAATTGTTGTTCCATTGATTGTTTTTGATTAAAAAATATTATTGTTTTGGTTTAATCATTCCAAATCAATAATCATTTTTATTCAATTGAATTTTTTCGTTTTAAAATTTAACTTATTTTAGTGAAGACAAATGTTAGCACTAAAAACAATTTCTATAAATAACATTAATAAGAATTTTTACATTTCGAATAAAAGAAACAATAAACAATACTGCTTAAAAATATAGTTTCCTAAATAAAGTTTTGTTAAGTTTTTTAGGAAACAATTTATATACATCTTCTTTTGACAGGTCGACCTAGTAACTGAAAAACAGGTCGACCTAGTAACTGAAGAAAGACAATCTGTAACTCCATATTTGATTCTTTAATACCGATCTTAGTCTTCTCTTACATCGAATCACACCTAATCGAATCCAATCCTTCTGTGAATATTATAACTAATTCCTGCTTCACATATATAAAAACCTCGTTAATCTTCAAATTCTCTAACTACACATACATTCATTTTCTTTTTTCTCTCAAATAATAAATTCTCCACTCCATTTTTTTTTTTGGTAAAAACAAAGACTTTCTAAAATATCCTAAATTAAATTTATATAAAAAAAAATGACTTCGCATGGTGAAGGAGTAGAAGAAGAACAAATATCAAGAATTGAGCAAGGGACAGGAAAAGATTGTCATGGAGGAATAGAGACAGTCGTATGTACTTCTCCGAGCATTGTTTGCCTTACCCAAAAGGTATAGATTTCTTATTTGTTTTGCTTTTGCATATTATTATGGAAAAAATATTTTGAAGAAGCATTTATATATTTTTTTAAACAAATATTACAGTTAATAGCAGAGATGATTGGAACGTATTTCATAATATTTTCTGGATGTGGAGTGGTGGTGGTGAATGTGTTGTACGGTGGAAAAGTGACGTTTCCAGGGATTTGTTTGACTTGGGGTCTCATTGTTATGGTCATGATTTACTCTGTTGGTCACATTTCTGGCGCACATTTTAACCCTGCGGTTACCGTCACTTTTGCCATTTTCCGGCGGTTTCCCTGGTCTCAGGTCACTATCCTACCCTTCTTTGAATAAGATCTTATAGCTTGTTTCAAAGACTAAGTTTTCTTGTTTACTTATGTGAAGTTTTGCAGTTAGAATTTGAATTAACAAATTGTTTTTCATTTGTTTGGGTAGGTACCATCGTACATAGGTGCACAACTTGCGGGATCGTTACTAGCTAGTTTGACATTGAGGCTAATGTTCAATTTGACACCAGAAGCTTTCTTTGGAACAACCCCTGCTGATTCATCCGTACGAGCCCTTGTCGCAGAGATCATTATCTCATTCCTCCTCATGTTTGTCATCTCCGGCGTTGCCACCGATAGCCGAGCGGTTAGTGCATGTTTTCATATATGTTGCCATAAAAACCAAGAACATGAACTTTTTTTCATTTGATGAAGTCACTAGTGCACATTCTAATATCTATTCACATAGAAAAAACATAGCCATAAGAGAAAAAAAAGTGTATGGCAAATAGAAGTCTCATGTTGTTCGACATTTCTTAATATTTTTGGCAGATTGGAGAATTAGCTGGAATTGCGGTTGGGATAACTATAATGTTAAACGTCTTTGTAGCCGGGTAAAAATACTATCTTTTTAATTCATTTCACTACAAATTTTTAATTCATTTTACTACAAACACAATTCATATATAATGGGAAGTATTAATTTTGGTTTTTATTATTATTATTATTATTAGACCAATTTCGGGAGCATCAATGAACCCAGCAAGAAGTCTAGGACCAGCAATAGTGATGGGTAGATATAAAGGAATTTGGGTTTACATTGTTGGTCCTATCATCGGAATTATGGCCGGGGGTTTTGTTTACAACTTTATCAGATTTACGGATAAGCCACTCCGAGAACTCACCAAAAGTGCTTCTTTTCTACGTAGCGTTTCTCCAAACAACAATGCGATCTAGTTCTTAGAGCTAGCTAACAATAACGTGTACTTGTTGAATATTTTTATACATTCTTAATTCTTTTATTAGCTTATATGTTGTTAGATCAAACCTGAAAACATCACTTCATATTATTGTGTAACCTATGGACAAAAGAAAACGATTTCCAATTTTCCATAAGAAATATTTTCTTAAACCTGAAACGTTGTAGGTGGTTCACACTTCACATGAAGGAGCTGCGTTGTTTGATAAATCTTCAAATCTAACCAACGAAATTATGGGTTCGCCCTAATTTCTCTCTGACACAGAAAACATTCGCCATCTAGAATGGCCATCTTCCTCTAAGCTCACTGGTGGTCTCTATCTCGGGATCTCCTCTTATCCGGCGAGAATTTGTACGATCTTCCTTTCTCTCTCCGGCGTGACTCCTTTGAATGCTCCTTACCCAGTTTCGCCGGCTAGAGCTCCCTCTCCGGTGATGTCAGAAGTTCAAGCTTCTCTCCTTTCTTGGGTTTGTCCCTTGTATCCGCTCATGCTCTTCACTTCATGGCTCGTCCCTTATAATCTGTATGCACTTCCTGGGCATGGCCCTTGTAATCCTTTCTCTGCTGGTTACTCCTTGCTTTGTGGGCTTTTGGTTTGACTCAGCCAAGCTACTCCTTTGCCTCTCTCCACCAATCATTGCCGATCACCTCCATATACAAAATCTCCGACCATCGGAAGGTCATAGTCCTGCTCCTCGCCGGTGAAAGAACAACGGAACTTTGCTTTTCCGTTAGTGACTGACCTAAATCCCATTATGGTCCGGCGTTGTACTTTTCTGGGCTTAGCCCATGAACCTTTCGTAACAAGCCCAGTTCTCAAGTTTTATGCTCTGTTACATGGTAATTGTTTGACCAGCATTCGTTTCCATGAGAGGCGGTCTTCTCCAGAAATCATTTCCTTTCCGATTTGTCTTCTTGTGCAGAAGAAGCAGCCGAATTCGTTCAACTGAATGTCGGAGGTATGAAGTTGGTCTTCAACGTCGCAATACTTTGTTATTATGGTTTATGAGAGACCCCAATCTCGCTATAGAAGCCTAGAGTAGTTTTCACATGTTAAATCATTTTTCAAAAATAAAAATAAATTTATTAAATACATAAAACGTCTTTATTAAAAACGAACCAGAAACTCAAAGCGTCATAACAATAAAAATCATAATTTAAACTTAAAAATAGAAATAACTGGAATATGTTTTAAAAGTTTTAAATAAGATAAAACGTCTTTTTTATAGTTTTCGGAAATAGCACCACTCCGACTTTAACTCAAGTCACTCACCTGAAAAGGAAAAGAGGGGTGAATAACAAGTTACTCAGTGAAACGATCATGCCTACCTACTAGATCTATACGAAGCATTAATCATAACCACATATGATATAAGAATCAGTACCATTCAATCTCCCTTAGACGTTGGAGGACATTCAAAAACCAAAGTGGAGCCAAACTTGCTTGTAGCTGAGGAGAAGGAGAAACTTGTAGCTGACTACAAAGGAGATAATGCTTCAAGTTCAAAACGCCACCGTCCTACACTTAAAGAGGAGCTTTCTGATGGAGCTAAACCACCAAAGAAGATGCTTGACCAGTTTAAATTAAAAGAGAACCAAGCCAAACCGCCAAAGCCACCAGATAATATGTTTGGACCTACATGTGCATCATTGGAGCCAACTATGGAAACTAAGAGCAGCAAGGCATGTTATTCGTCCAACATAGAAGATATCACAACCATAAAGCCACCAGATCAAGTCAACATTGATACATTACTAATTGGTGTCTTATGCTCAATCACCCTTGTGTTAATCAGTTGTAGTAAGGGTTTTATGTCAATCCATTGGGAAGAGTTGAAAACAGAAGAGTTGAGAGTAAAGTCTCTAAGTCAAGCAGGCAGAGAATTGGTTTTGTTGCCTAAGCAACAGTTCTAGCAACCTAAGTGAAGCAAGCAGCAACCAAAGTAAAAGCAGAAGCAAACTAAGCAATTCTAAACAAGGAAAACAGAGTAAAACAGAGCAAAACAGGGCAAATCCGAAATTCAAATAAGAAAAAGACAAGTCTCTAGATGTGGTTATTGACTTTGGAGAATTTCAGGCATCAAATGAGGCTGTTTCAAACTACATTGATCAAGCAAGCAAGCAAGCAATGGTGATTCCTAGACATAGAGTTCACACTTAAGCTAGTTAGATCCAATCTCTTGGCAAATAACCCTTTGCTAAACATTCTAACAAGAACTAACTCTCATTAGTGCTAAAACATCAAGCAAGCATGATTAAACAACTCTATTCAAGTCAAAATGCTCCTCAAACAGTCAATCTCTTGAGCCAAGGCCAGCAAATCCTCTATTAAACATGATCAGCATTTCATCAAACACTTGGTGGGCATAAGACAAAGCTAACAACTTAGATAAGTTTGATCAAGACTAATCTAGCATGAATAACAGATTAATAGAGAGGAACCCATAAAATGAAGAACATAACAAACCTTAATCAAGCTTTAGATTCCCCTAATCTACCATCTAGAAACCCTAAGATAACTACTCACTCATAATCATGTTTAACACCAAATCACAAAGGGAAAGGATGCTAATCATGATTAAAAGAAAGATTAAAGAAAGATTAAAGCAAATACTTGATTATATTAAACAAAGCAAAGAAATTGTCTTACAAACTTAAAAGAAATGCTCAAGAACAGTATTTTGACATGACTTGTCGAAAATCTGGAAAAAGAGGCTATTTATAGCCTAGAAAGGAAAACCCTAGAGTAATGGCATAGTTGTAATTAAAAACAGGTTCGGGCTGGGTCAGTATCGGTCAGTCGTGTCGATCTCCAGTGACCGAAATGGGTCCCTATCGGTCTTCAGTGATCGACACACATGACCGTAATTAATCCGATGTGTTTGTGTCGATCACACTTGACCGATACTGGTGACCGATATGCTCCGTATCGGTCACTCTTGACCGAAACTCTCCGTGCTCTGACCGAAAACTTCTGCAGAGATCTTCTGCTGTGATCCTTCTCGCTCCCTTTTGCCCAGCTAGCATCTTGTATCATTCCCAAAACTCCTCCAAGCTCCTTTAAGCTCCAAAAGCACCTAAAAACATCCAAAATGCAAAGAAAATGCAAACTATACTCTAAATGCAACCTAAGTCTAAAATGAGAAGAAAATGGGACAAAAACAAAGGGAAAACATGCAAAAAAGGATCAAAATATGTGCTAAATGCAGCCCTAAATGGTGTAAATACAAGGAATATCAACACCCCCACACTTGCCTTTTGCTTGTCCTCAAGCAATCACGAACAAATGGGAGAGTAAGGTTTGAAAGTGGGCATTCAGATTGCAAAAGTGCAAAGGTAAAGAGATGGTTTCAATGCTCAAGTGCCTAGTTGTAGGATGCCAACATAATCAGCTATACTTTAAAGATCCTAGCCACGCTCATCATATTTCAAAATGATCTCAATTCTCAACTTAGGCAGATGCTCAAATCAATCAACTCTTTAACATTCAATTAAGTTCAGAACATGAATCATGCTTATGCAAATCAAGTGAAGATATTTGGTTAAAAAGGGTAAGGTTATGAGATAAGAATGATCTCATTTAAGCATAAGGATTCAAAAACATAAAGGATCACTCAATGAAATGACTTCATCTTAGGCAAAATGCTAAAGGTAAAAGCACACTTATGCATGCAATTCAAAGCTCTCTTCTACCCTTACTTCCCAAAGATGAGTCCTAAGCAATTTTAAACCCAAGAGTGAACCCTCTAAGTCTACCATACCCTAAATTCTACCCTTTACCCATCTTTATGGCTGGGGAAACTTCTTCTTTTGCTTGTGTGGCTGGTTCTTTTTGGTTGGGACTTGCTCTTCTTTGTTGTGTTGGCACCTTCATCACCTTTGGTAGATTGCTTCTTGGTCAGATTTTTCTTTTTTTGGACCTTTCTAAGCATTGTTGTTGGCGCCAAACCTTCTTTTTAAACTTAGAGATTTTATTCCCTTTACTTAACCATAATACTAGACTGTTTCCCCTTTTCTACCATTTCAAATCTTTTCATTTTCTTTCAAAACATAAAACATTAAGCTCAAACCACTTACTCTACCCTTTTTAAACCCCAAAACTCCTATCCTAGAATCAAGCTCAAGATGCAAGCTGATATCTACAAGAGAGCTAATCATTGCCAGCCTTATTCCTAACACTTTTTGCCAAGACAAAATCGAAAATGCAATGCAAAGGCCTTACAACTCTCACAATAGTGTTTAGGCTCAAAATGAGGTTTTGGTTAATGGTGAGGATGTAACTGTCCCATAATTATGAGGATCAGCTATTTGGATCAACAAGAGTGGTAGAAAGGAGAAAGATGATCCAAATATGTATATGGTAGCCATGCAATCACTTTTCAATGCATAAGACATGATAATTAAAAGTCCAAGTTAAAGTTCAAGTTGATAGAGTTTATTTTCAGAGAACAAATGCTTTCAGTATGAGATGAGAAGACCAAATCTAGCAATCTAAGCATGGTTCAGCCTTAACTTCTAGCAATCATATGATGCATCAAACAACTAAGCACTTAAAAACTAAAATCATCTCTAAACACTAAGCACTTTACAAGAAAAACTCATCATAATGCCCTATGCAAATGCAATGCAACCTAAATGTCAATACTAGACTAAATCCTAGAAGAATGGAATGCAACTACATGTTTTCTTTTTGGTTTGCAAAATTGCAAAATGTTTTAAAAATGTTTCGATTTTTTTGTGTTTTTCTATGCCTTACATGTATGCATGATATGCATGAGACTCAAAGAAAAAAGGAAAAACTAAGAAAACAGAAAACAAAGTCAAACCCCAAATCTCTCCCCCACACTTAAATTACACAGTCCCTTGTGTAATGAAAGCAATGGAAGAGAGAAGCAACAAAATATATTACAAAAATAAAAAGATGCAATGGTATAGAACAATGGAAGGGATGTGGTACTTGGTTCAATGATAGGAGTTGTGGGATGATCCTGAGGTTTGTGGAGACTTGCTAGCTCTCCTCTTCCTTCTCTCATAGACTTTAGTGGAATGCTCTGCTTCTGGAGTTGGTTGAACCCAGCTTGACCATAGCTGTTCAGCTTGTGAAGAAGTTCCTTGTGTGCTCCATTGCCATATATCCTGAACTTCAGAGGGGTTGGGGA